ACTGCTTAATGACATAGAAGCTGTCTATGTAAGTAGAGAAAATATCCTGTAACAGTGTGAGATGTGTGTGTTTTTGGAAGAGAAGATCATCTGCCCTGATCCTCATGTGAAAATAGTTATTTTGTTGTGTTTTTGCTTTTTGTCTTTTTCTATTTACTAAAATTTTAAATTAGACACAGATCAGTCCTCTAATAATATTAAAAATTAAAATACAAATGACAGATTATTAATTGCACTCTATAAAGGTTATTTATTCTCAGAAAGACTTATTAGTGAATGGTTATTACGCTTTTGCAACAAAATGGATGCAACTGGAAACCGTTATATTTATTGAAGTATGTCAGTCCCCAGAAGACAAATATCATATATTTTCTTTGATATGTGGGAATCAATGTAGAATACAAAAACATATGATAATGAAATGAACATCTTCACTGTTTTCAGCTGTTGTTGATATTCCTGTGGAACTGTGGTCTTCCTACTTTTTACTTATTTAATATTATGGGTAGTTGTAGGTTAAGTCTGATTGTAGAGGGAATGAAATTATGTCTTCGTAACAATTAAAGGAAGGAAAGAAAGGAATGAAGGAGGCGATAGAAGCAAGGATAAGGGAGGGAGGGAAGGATGGTTATCACCTTAGAATTGTTACTATGATATACACGAAATCCATTCTCCTAGAGTAATGAAAGTTAAAGAAAAATCTCTGGGCTCCTTGTTGAATCAATATATTTAACAGTTTTGGTTTTTCCGATTTCTGTGAACAATTAGTCTTGATTAATCCTGGTAAGTGATAAAGACCCGCTTAACAAACTGGAGATGTGTATGGAACGATGCTTGGAGATTTTATACAAAATATCTTTCTCACTTAACTTCCTGGTTAAATCCTTGAAGTTTTCATAATCTGCAAGCATTTAAGCATTTGTGATGATCACAGCTGATTTTTTCATGTTGAGTCTCTCCAGAACGTCCTTGGCTAGTTGTTGATCCACGCGCGGATTGTGAAGCATGATTGAGTGTTTTCAGACTACCTACCTGTGTTTTTTTCTCTCTTCTCTCCTTCTCATCACGAATCTCCTTTTCTTCCTTTGTTCACTGACATCATTCTCTATCAACTGCATGAAAGTTATGAAATCTCTCAAAGCTGTTGACAACCTTTCAGCACTGGAACTAGATTCTGGCCTTCGTTTTTGCACTTATGAATTCATTGGTTCTGAGTTCTTTGTTGAAAATATGAATTCCAGTGTACTTTTCCTTTGGGAAATAAGACTTTTCTTGTGATCATCTGATCTGTACTTTGTGAAAAGAAATGTCATGATTTTACCTTAAAAATAGTTTATACCTCAATATGGCTTACATGATCTTTTTACTAAACTTATAAAATTATCTTCCTATTTTTGTTTGTATAAGTTCTTCTAAGTAGCTGTGTTTAACACACAGTTGTAATTGTTAGACCGTCATTAAGATATAAAAGTACCTCATTGCTCTTTACTCACTTGATAGACTTGTTCCCAGATGTTAAAGTAGATTTTAGTAAGTACCATATATATTAAGTGTTGATTTTTAATGTTAAAAATAACTAACATTCGTGATGAAAATTAGAAAACTAAACAAATTGGACAAAAATGATTCATAATCATATAACCGAGATAATATTTAAATGTTAGTATGTGAAGCTAGCATTTAATTTTTAATATTTGTGTTTATGTAAACCTGTGGAGTCTAGTTTTTCACACTCAAAATATTATGTAGGTATCCAATTCTATTTTAACCAAGAAACATAATTTCAATGGCTACTAGCTATATCATATTGCTATAGCAAAGGACAGATTTTATACATTATTTGATATATTTTTAGTGTATCACAATAATTATCTGAGATGATTATATTACTTCTAAGTGTTTCCTTATTTTTCTTATTTTGTTCTTAGTGGCAAACAAGCATGATTTCTATTTACTTATACTCCATTGATTTCATTGATGTCTTTATTATTTATAATTACGATATGTTACTTTCTTTTTTTCCGTATCTTCTGCTCCTTGGTTGAGTAATTTGTGAAATAACTGCACAGGCACAGCCACATTGAACTTGGAATGTTTGAGGTTATCAAAACTTCAGAAACTGGCACTCGTCTTGTCTCTCAAGTTGCCCAAAGAGGAAGCTCATTTTCTCATGACTTTCCTATGACTTAAGTGAAAGGGAAGCACAATTGTATTTACTATCTCAGCATTCGAAATCGAACATCTATTACCTGTTACATTAAAAAAAATTTCTTTGACTACAGAAAAGAGCAGGTGATGAGTTTAAATTCCAAGGCAAAGTTCTCTAATTTGTATAAAACAGTGTTCTAAAAGTTTTAAATTATCCTTTTAAAAATAGACTTTACATATGGTACATGTGTATAATTTAAAATAAGTAAGTAGTTGGTTCCCCATATGCATGAATTTCAATTACAGTTTCCAATGGCACATGGAAAATACTTGAAAAAGTTTTTTCCTTTTTCTGACTGTATACAAATTTTTGATATTACTCCTTTTATAAATCTTTGTTTTCTTATTTTTACTAGTATAGAAAGAACAAATTTTATGTATTTTATAAGTACAGATGCTTTTGGCAATGTCAGGGAATTTAGGGAGAAAGGAATGTATATTTATTGAATTTTCTTGAATATTGGATATTCTAATAATTATCTTGGATGAAAGATCTTATATAGTTCATTGCTTAGTACTCTTTCAATAATTGTATACTTTCAGTTCTTATGTTTAGATATTTCAATGGTTGATTTTTTTTTGTATAGTGTAAAATAAGCATCCAGTTTTATTTTTCAGCCTGTGGATATGTGGTTTATTCCGCACCTGAATATTTAAGAGACTATCCTGGGCCCGGTGCAATAGTGTAGTGGTTAAGGTCCTTGCCTTGAGCATCAGGATCCCATATGGGATCCTCCCTGCCTGTGGCTTGGGAAAGAAGTCGAAGATGGCCCAACACTTTGGGACCCTGCACCTGTGTGGGAAACCTGGAGGAGGTTTTTGGCTTCAGATTGGCTCAGCACCAGCCATTGCGGCCGCTTAGGGAGTGAATCAATGGACAGAAGATCTTCCTCTCTGTCTCTCCTCTCTGTATATCCGCCTTTCCAATAATAATAATAATAAAATCTTAAAAAAAGATAATATCCTTCGCTGGTTCTTGATGTCTCCGTAAAAGATTAGCCCATCATCCATGTTTAGGTTTGTTTCTGGAATTTTGATTCTTTTGCATTGATCTGTTTGTCTGTTTTTAAGGAGCATGGGAGTTAAAGCAAGTATATTTGGGTTCAAATGTCAGCTCCCTTGGGAAAGAGTATTTTTATTTCATAATAGTAATAGCAACAGTGAAAACAATAATGGAGTACATACTGCATGAGTTAATACCTATAAAAATAGAATACTGACTGGCAAGAATGTATCATATAGCTGTTAATTGCTGATTGCTATTAAATATTATGTTTTTGTTTGTATCCCTATGGTAATTTCTATAGAACCTTGTGTGCAGTAGGTGATAGCCTTTTAGGTAATTGTAATAAATTTCACCTCTTCCACATAATGACCTTGCTTTTCAAGAAATTAAGAACATTATTGATCAAATCATCAATGATGAGTCCTTGCTATACTATGTTCCTGGCCACACTCTTGTCTCAGACTCTAGCATTTACTTCAGACAGCAGGTAAATGACTATGAATTACTCCAAATTATAGTACATCCTTTGAAGGTTTTCACCAAAGTTTAAATGGGTGACCAGTAAGTATGTTTTATGGATTAAATGATTTGTACTTTTCCTGGCATGATGTGCTAACATGATGTAATACGCATAAATATTCTGTTAATTTACCTTGAAATATTAGTTAAAGAGAAAAGTTATGGTATATCCTTTGATTTGAAATATTCACCCATTTTTTTCTAGAATGAAGGGCATCAGTTCTAGAAGCTTCTCTCTGGGAAGAAGAAGAGAGAAGCTGTGTGTCTGCATGTGCATGTGTAATGTTAGAGGCAACCGAAATGTTAAAAGGTCTACATATTAGAAGTGGGTTGAGTAAGTCAAAAGCAACTTGAATTTAAAGTAAAAAGAAGTTTCTACAAATAACTTGGGCCACACTCCCAGGCTTAGGCTGTGAAGGTCAGTGGGTTTTTTGCAGGCACTGGTCAGAGTAAGTGCAAGAGACCATTGTCCCCCACACCCAGGCTCAGGATGTAAGTAAGGGTCAGTGGCCCTGATGAGGGTAAAAATAAAATAGCCCCATGGTCTGTATTTCACAGATATGTTACCTATTGCTTTGCATCTGTAACCCCTTAGCTTAGAATAGTTTTGTCTTGTCATGAGCAGCCAAACTGGCCTATAAGAATCTGGCTTCCCTAGCTCGGGGTCTTGCTTCATTCACTGGTCCTGTGTGTCCATGTGAGGAGCTTGGCCCTGGCTAGCCAGCTCAATAAACTCTGTTTGCTGATTGCATCCACGTCTGGTTCTTGGCTGTTCAATGGAGGGGCGATTTTGGACCCTAACAGTAACACTGTGGGCTTCAGAAGGGAATTGCTCATGAGTGCATCTCATATCCACCAACTCCTATTATTTGGCCACATTACAGTATTTGAGGTCATAGTCATCTGTAATATGTCTGCATAGCAAGTTTTTTCTTGGAGATTATTGTTTTAGATTAGCAATGATTTTGGAAGCAAATTTAATGCTAACTCTAGAGTTCCCATGATTTCCAAGGGCTATTTGTAATGGAACAGGATAATATAATCCTTCTTTGGTCCCAGAATTTATCCATAAAGTTCCATAGTTCAGTTTAAGCTTCTAAAAATTTCTAATTAGTGTTACATTATGGACCAGCTTCAGAATATTGAGAACCATGAATATCCTTTACCCCAGTTAAATTGATGAACTGAAACTTTCACTAAAATTTCCTTAACATTTCAATGTTTCAAAGATCCCTGTAATACCTCCATGACTCAAGAGATCTCATTGCATTAAGTGGTTTTATTATTCAAGAATTGAAAATTTAAATGCGGCATGAAAGTAAAATGAAGGGCTGAAGAGAAAACAGCTGGTTGAGTGAGAGACACATTTTCTTCTGATGGAAGGTAGACAAACAGCTACTGATGAGTCTGAAGAAATCATTTAGTTTTGCAAAGATCTGTAAAAATAAATAACAGTTGAGAAATTTAGTTCATAATGTCTTTGCAATCCACATGGTATGTGGATATCTATTCAGTTTCCATGATTTTTCTCTTAAGTCTGTATCCAAGGAATTTTGCTAATTAAATTTAAAAATCTTAAATATTTTAAATTGGTATTTAGTGAATTGAAAAATAACAGTGGTATTTATAGTAAAATCTGCCTTTTATATGCTTGTTTATATGTGATGCTACACAGGGATTTTAATTTGGGATTGTGGCTCATGATTTTAAAATAAATAACTCTTGAAATATTGATTACCACTAAAACATAAGCATGTAATAATATATTTCAGACCAATATGTGTCACTATCTTTCATGTTATTTCCATTCATTTTCTGGTTTTCTTTCCTAAAATCCAATTAGCTAAATATTTATCAAGCTTATGAACTTTTTTTAACAGATGTCCTATTAAATAGCAACCAAATAACATATTTACATATATGTAAATTAGGGAAATGCAGTGTGTTTTCTCTTTTTTATGCAAAACAGACAACTCATTTGGAAGTAAGGTGAAGAAATTGAGCATCATCCTTGAAGCTAGACAGGCTTTCTTTTTGCATATTCTATCTATGATGAATTACTTAACAGCCCGAGAGCTATTGCTTTGTTCATTCATAAACTGAAATGGTAATAAAATCGATTCCATTTAGCTGCTATAGAGTTCAACTAAAACACTCATACAAACTTCTTATCTTTAGGTAACAAATCATTGGTTAAAGATAATTTTAAAATTTATTAATTTTGCTTTATATTTGCTAATATGTTGTACTTTGCAGGTTGATCTGTTTTTAAGAGTTCTTTCGTAGGTGCATTTTTACTTGAACTTCAAGGAAGACACATCTCTGACATAATGCAGGTGCAGGGAGCAGTGACTAGCCTGAGGTCACGGGTTAAGATGAGGAAGCAGATTCCTTCCTGACCTAATGATGGTCCCATCACATCCTAGAGCATAACTTGTCAGATTAGAAAACATGTGGACAGTCTGATGACTGAAAATATTTGCTGCAAAAACCTCTAAACTTTGCATCCTTCTTCTCAAATTATTTCTCACTCTTTAGCCATTTTCTAATTTATTACGTTTTTCTTAATTTAACTTCCATAAGTTTTACAATGTTTTGGGCTCTGCCACCATTCACTGATCCAGGTACTAAATGATAACTTTATGTATTATAGTCAGTGTTATAAAATTATTTTTTAAAGCCATTTCTCAAGCACTGTAAATATTTCATTTTTTTTAAGGTAGAGGACATTTGGGATGACCAGCTTCATGTATCCTTTTGGAAATGATTTCTGAAATTAAAGAATTCTTAGAAGGTGTTATTGCTTCTTTTTACTCTAGCAAAGCTAGAACACAAGAGCGCTGTGGTGGAAGTTAAATTTCTTTAAACTTATTTTGTGTAATCTTTTCTAAGAACATTTATTGCTGATAAATGAAAAATCCTCAAGTATTAATAGTATCTTCCTCTTTTGCCTCAGTTTGTATGCATATAGGGATAAAATAAAATGGGCAGATTCTAGCAGTGGTTTAAGAGTGAGCATTTTAATAATGAATTCCTATCTTTTATGTTATAAAATACTATTTTTCATTTCTTGTTAGAGCAGAATTTTGTTGAACTATGGTTCTACTAATTATACCTAGCATATTTGCCTATTCTGATAACCTTCTTAAGATATCCACTTGTCTTATTTCAGGATTTGTGTTGTATTAGCAAGTCTATATTGCTTGTCAGAAATGTTTCATTTTTGTCTTTGGCTCATTTACCTGCATTGTCTTCTTTGCCGTTTCTTACTGTTCCTCTGCTGTTGATGGAGCAACTGCTACTGTGGCAGGTTCAGGGCTAGAAATGAACTCTGGGGACGCCTTTGTAACAACTTCGGTGTTCACAAATGGCTCAATGGAAGGGATTGGGGTGGGCTCCTCAGCAGCCACCGTGTTGAGGGTTGGGATGATGTTTTCCTCCTGCACCTGATTTGGACGAATGGCCATTACCAAAGGGTGTCGGCGTGGGTGATGTGCCTCTGTTGGCTGGTGGACATTTGGCAGGGTTTGCCACTGAGGGATTTGCATATTTGGCTTAACTACAATTGGTTTGATGTAATACGGGTTCAGCATAAATGGACTGAAAGTTGGTACAGCTGGTCTATGTTGGTAGAAGTTAGATCTGTAAGGCAGGAATCTGCTCATCACAAAGTAAACTGGGACGTAGGGAACTGTTTTCTGGTTGACCACTTTTTCCTCATTCTCACGGCACTGCAAAAAAGAATAATAAAATGTACACAAAGATGTTACTGAGTTCTCTTACAGAGAAGTTTTGAAATAATGTAGTATGTGACATTGGCTATTAAAAACATTAAAACATGGAAACTTTCCATATTATTTTGTAAGGACTTACACATTTCTTTTTGTATATTTCTTTTAGATATTATAAATTATCTTTATAATAAAATGGTACTTTGTCACAAAATTAGATGAGGTACTTCAAATTATAAAACAGATTGCTCAGACATTGACATATGTGGAAATTGACAGTAAATGTTGAATATTTTAAGTACAATTAAAACAATCTCAGAGAAATTGGACATGCTGTACAAAAGCACACACATATATACATTCTCATCACATATCTATAATTTCTCATAAATTTTATTTAGAGACAAACATGAGTAGAAACATGTTTGGATCATTTTATACTAATTTTAGCAGAATAGTAACATGATGTGATGGGGGCATTTTAAAATTTAGATTTTGAATTTTTTCAGTTTAATTGTCTTCCTAGAAGATGACAGAATTTTTTGGGTTTTTTTTCCCCCAACAGTCTATCAAATTGTAACCATCATGAGCATTTGTCAACAGACATTTCCATGTAAACGGAAACAAATGGACAAAATTATACTTGAAAGCAACTGTTTCTCATAAAAGGAGATATTTCCATGTGCTCAGTCAGCCATTCGGGAGAATCAGCACATAGATCCAAGCTAAGGGACCTCAGACAAAGTCTTCAGAAGCAGAATAGATGCTTATCTTCACTTTCCATGTTCCCTTAACAGTGTGTACAGCATTTCCTCATGTTGCTCAGTATCCATGATAATTAAAGTTACATGAGACCTAGACTGCCAGGTGAACAATGATATTTATTTGTATCAACTCTTGTTGCAGTGAGCTTTTTCATTTTGCAAAAATCATTAGAGAATTTTGTGATGATGATATAATTTTATAGGAATACAATGAAATATGACTGATATTTAAAGGCTATTAGATTTTGGAGTTCATTTCTGTAAGGTAAATAATTAAAGTCAACTTACTGTTGGCTGTTCCTGGCTTTGTACTATCTCTGCAGCCTGGGAAGAAATAATATGAAATAGAATTTATTACAAATACAAAGCACAGACTGTTTTTTTAAAATTTATTTTTACTTGTTGAAAATACCCTTTGTATTTTTAAAAGATGCAATGACAATCATTTAAATTTGATTTTGTAATGCATATAAATTATCATCTAGAAGATACAAAATGTAATGATTTTGACTTTTCCTAGTTTTGAATTATAAAATTTACATGCCTTAACTTTTCCTTAGGGTTATTCTTTCACTGCCCTTTGTGAAAATGGGAGGGGATATTTGAGGATAAAGCAGGTTCAGATAGCACAAGAAAAGGTTGCTGCAGAGCAGGTCATTGTGCAGCATTTCATGATTGAAACTAACACTTGTCACTCCCAGAGAAAACCTAAGTTCTAAATTCAAAGATGGCCCCAATAAAATGTAATTTCAAGGAAGAAAGAAATGTGAAATTCATCACGGTTAAAAATGCTTTGGTTCATTTTTTTTTTTTTTTCAAAGCTGGATATCTTTTTTTTTTTTTTTTTATTGTTGCTTACACTGTATTATGTAGTACAGTTTTATAGGCGCTGGGGATTCCCCCCACCCCTCCCCATATCCCTCCCCCCATGGTGGATTCCTCCACCTTGCTGCATAACCATAGTTCAAGTTCAGTTGAGATTCATTGCTTGCAAACACATGCCTAGCATAAAGTTCAGCGTCTTATTGTCCAGATAAGTTCAGTGGCCTCTTGGGGAGACCTTCTATGGTCTGAAGATAGGTCTAACAGAGTAAAGATCCGGTCAGTTAAAAGCCCCAACAAGGCCTCAGTATCAATATACAACATTATGGAATTAATTGACATAGTATTGGGTAAACAATATGTTAAAAATAATGCAAGTTCCATTCTTCGAAACATCTGGGTTGAGACAGCATCAATGACACGTTCAAAAAATAACAAACAACCAAACAATAAATTACAGGTTAAATCAAGGCAAACATGTGGTATCTAATCTTTTGGGATTCGCTCATTTCCCTTAGCATTATAGTTTCCAGTTGTGCCCATTTAGCCACAAAGAACTGCATTTTGTTTTTTTTAATAGCTGAGTAGTATTCCATGGAGTAGATGAACCAAAGCTTTCTTATCCAAACTTCTATTGATGGGCTTTGGTTCATTTTTAAGTAATTTTGACCACAAATATTTATCTCGTAACTTTATTTAGTAGCTGTCTCCTGACAGTAAGTATAAGCTTCATAATAAATGAGTTATGAAGCAAGAACTAGTGCCCTCCAAAATATTATATTCCACAATAGGGTGTATATTGTTAGCTGTGCCTGCCTCTTTGTTCTTACTCTTGGAAAACACATTGTGTGGAATGACTAGATGAGCATGAAAATAAAATACAGTGATAACCAAACAACACTGAAAACACAAGACAAAATGAAAAAAAAAACAAACAAACAAGCTTTTTCTTGGTTCAACAGCATCAGAACATAAGCTTATTCAAGACAACACCTGCAGGCTGAGGGTTGTGAACATGGATCCCCTGAATGGAATTGGTCAGTTGACACACAGGGAAAGAGTGAAACAATAGCAAAAAAATGCAGATACAGTAAAATCTTTAAGCAAGCCAAATATCTTAAGATTTTTCAGTGCTAAAACAATTAGAGTTGGGTAACATAAGAGTTTAACTAAAAGGGTTTCTGATTCTGGAGTATGAATTTCATATTTATGTCTTATGAATTAACTTTGGAGCATTTCCACAATTTTAATGTATTTTGAGAGTTATTTCCCTCAAGCATTTTCTTTTTAAAAAGATTTATTTCTATTTATTGTGAAGGCAGATTTACAAAGAGAAAAATCATCCATCTGCTGGTTCACTCCTCAAATGGTTACAATGGCAGGAGGTGAGCAAATCTCAAGTCAGGAGCCAGCAGCCTCCATGCGCTATCCCATGGAGGTACAGGGTACCAACGCTTTGGGTTTTCCTCTGCTGCTTTTCCAAGAGCACATGCAAGGAGCTGGATGGGAAGTGGAACAGCTGGCCCAAGAACCAGTGCCCATATGGCATCCCAGCATTTGGCAGGGGAGGATTAGCCAATTGAGCAATTGAGCAATTGTGCCAGTCCCATATTCATTTTCTTTTTAGCATAAAGTTTTAAAAAGCTTTCCATAAATGAGAAAGCATGTTTTCTTAATTTATTCCAACTAGATGGATGCTCAGAACAATGGGAACAAATGTAAAAATACATGTTTAGGAAATTGTAGATAATATACAACTTTTTTTGTTGTTGTTCTACAAAGTATAACTAAAAATTTGCATATTTAGTGTCCTTTGGTAAATGTTCTTAAAATCTTAATACAAATTAATTAGATAAAATTAACTCACCAAAAAAGGCAAGGTTAGTGCCAGGACATTCAGAACTAGAAGGAAATGCTTCATCATTGCGCCTATAAACATTTTGAAAATTAAAGAATATGTTATTAACAGTTTAAGAATTATTTGATTGCAATACTTTTCTTGCTTGAAGAAAAGGAAAACCAGGTACAAAAATAGATTTAGATTTAAAAAAAAAGCATTAGAAAACCCACTTATTATAATATTTTTGAACTAAAAATTAATTTAAAAATTAAAATTAAAAAATATATATTTGAAAGGCAGAGTTACAGAGAGAAGGAGAGACACAGAAAAATCTTCCATTTGCTGATTTACTCCCCAAATGGTTGCGATGGTCAGAACTGAGCCCATTTGAAAGTAAGGAGCTTATTCTAAAGCTGCCATGAAAATCCAGGGGCCCAAGGACTCTGCTGGTTTTCCAGGCTATGAGCAGGGAGCTGGATTGGATATGGAGCAGCTGAGACAGTAACCAATGTTCATATGGGATGCTGACAGTGCAGGAGGAGACCTAGCATACTGTGCCATGGCGCTGACCCCAATATTTGAATTAAGCTTCTGACAATGTTAATAACTCCTCATTATAAATTTAATTATATAATCATGTAATATTTATCAACATCCTACAAGAAAAAAATACTATTTTTAATGCTGAGATTATCTAAGTGAATCTGATACAGGCCTTACCAAAAGGTAGCATGCATTATAGGAAGAGTTGCAATATATACAAATCATTGTAAAAGACATGGGAAGTGCCACAGAAGCGTTTCTCTAACACTGGAAAGTTTAAGAGAATCTTACATATGGAATCAGATCTGAAAGACTTGAGAAAACTCATTTCCTTGAGTGGAGCAGAGCTCCTTATTATCTCTTCACATGCCATTATTTTTTAAAGTTATAGATAGAAAAGAATGCTCTCAATGGTAAATCAGACTCTCAATTCATACAAAATCATACAACAGACACAGAAAATATTCTATAAAATGATGAGAATCCTTCTTATCAGGAGCAGAACCTGTAAGAGAAGGTCATATTTACATATTGGCTACTTAAAACAGCAGGTACCTGCATGAGTCCTCATCACTTGGTAAGAAGTAATTTGTGAGATGGTAGAATGATCAAGCTCTCATAGCATAAGCAAGATAGGTTTTACAATTAAAATGAAACTATCACAAATAAAATTATAAATTTTAAGAACAAATAAAATTTTAAAGTAAGTAAAAGGATCAATGTTGATTATTACTACAGGTCCAGCTTCCTGAAAAGTTACTAATATTTAACTGCAGGAATAAGCACATTGTTTGAGTACCTTTTATTCAGAATTTACATTGTCTACAATAATTTAGCTAATAAATAATAAAGTAAGAACTAGCAATTTAGCTAGTAATAAGTCTTAACTTTAAAGTAGAGTTAAATTTGATTGTAACATCATGCCAAACCTAAAGTTCAGATTAGAAATTAGCATTAAAATAATGATGGAAGCATAGAAGCATCTAGAAGCTTAAAAAAATTTAAAGGAAAAATATGTGACTCCACACTAGTTTTGACATTGAGCTAATTGACTGCCTTGAAATAAATCACTCTCTGGCATCTCAATGCCATTACCTTGCCTCGTGCCCGTCAGGTCTTGCTTTGGCAGTAGGTTGAGTTGACCTCTCAGCTGTAGTGAAGACCCAAGACTAATTTAAGGGTATTAGTACCTCAAGTCATGCTATTCTAGTCCCCTCCTACTTTTCAGCCAATAAGATGACAATCAGGTGATTGATTTGATTACAGTATTGTCAATCTTAGCAAATGAAATGCAAAAAGAAAACAGAGGTGGCATTCATCAAGATGGACAAGAGATGTTATTCATGTCTTTTAAAAGAATGAATCATCATGAATAGGGAAGTATAGAGAAATTTATAAAAACGTTATATGTATTGGTAATCAATTACTTCTGACTATTTGAAATTAAAGCTACTGGCTATAGGAATAACCTAATACTTTCAGATTTTTAATATTTCTTTTGATTAAAAAGCCTGGATAAAAAGTGCTTCTCTATCTTCTGTGGTCTATAACTGGCTTCCTTTCTTCACCATTACAGCTGTCAATTTTTAAAATTGGAAATTGACCATCTTTTATATACCTGATTGCCTTCTCACACGATAAATACACATATAAAACATATTAATTAACACAAAATGGGAAACTATTTGCATTTGAGCCATAACACATATTTGACTCTTTGGCCATGAAATACTGAAAAACACTTTTTGATTGATTGTCCTTGTAAAAAACCCAAATTAAAATTTCAATAGTGTACATAATCATTTTGAATATATATTAGTGAGTTGGGGGTATTTGTTTTAAGGAAATTGATTATGATTAAGATTGCAGATTGAATCTTAAGATTGCAGATTGCAAAATACTGATAAGATATCTTGGTAAGAATAGTTGGGCAACTTCTTTTTTTTTTTTCTAGAGAATTCAGGAAGGGATTTCTTCATTTAATTTTTTTCTGAATAGTGAATTTTTGAGAACTTTCTTTGAATAATGTTAACTGTCACCTCACTTGGGCTACAAAGACTTGGTGTGATTGAAATATTTACAGGAATCAATGAAGAACTGCCAGAAGACAAACAGAAAATGCTGTTGGCATGGCAGTTATTTCTCTGTTCCTTTTTGCTTCTTGGAATGACGTTCTGCATGCTAGAACAGTTATTCAACTTTACAGGGCAAGTGAAGACTTCCTATTTCCCAGAAGAGTTGGTGTCCATTGTTCAGCTGATGGCAGACATGGCCAAGTTTCAAAATTGCTAACCCACCTGCTGCAGAAGTGAGATCTGGCATTCCATCTGATTAAGTCTCATCGTTTCTTTTGGTTTTCAAGATTAAGTGAGAGAAGATCTTGGTGTAGCTAACTGCAAATTCTAAAGGTATCTTACTCCATATGGTAATTTTTAGCCATTAACCTTGCATCACAGTGTTGATATTATTAACTGTTTAATTATTTAATACAAAAATACCAACAATTCAGAGATGTTTTAAAAATTATTTTAATATGAAAAATGTTTCATGAATACCTGGGAATGATAGGAATCCTTTCTACCAAAAGAAAAACTTTTCTGACATGGGAGTATCCTGAAAAATATTACAATAAAAGAAGCGCAGACACTAATCTCAGAAAACTGTATGCTGTATAAATTCCCATATAGTCTATGTTCAGGACAGAGTCACAGTAATGGGAAAGGCTTTTCATGGGCACAGGGCTTCATTTTGTGATGAGAAAAAGTTCTGAACTTGAGCATTTTAATAGTCGTCAAACTCTTATGAACATCTGAAACCACTGAACTGTATATTTTGGGTTGAATGAATGTAAATTGTATTCCAATAAAACTGCTTTTGAAAGATGGAATGGTATATTAAGTACTTTATTTCTTTTACTATTTTTTAGCTTTGTCCAGAGGAAGCTGTGTCACTGAAAATACAAATTGAATATAGAACTTATCTAGTAAATATCTAATGAACATCTAATTTTTGCTTGTCTATCTGTCCATAATCATTTTCTAGAAAACGTCACTTACAATCACTAGTCGGACTTTTGCTAATTTATGTGGATAGAGCTAGTGCTAAAATTATACATGTTTTTCTCCCCTCACTAGGCTACAATGTTCTTAAACAAAGAAACAGACAAAACCATGAAAGGTGAAAATTCCCAGAAAGTAGAATTGGGGTTGACACAAGGTAAGTGTAGTCAGGCATTCTCATTTGAGTGTTCTGAATACTCAAATCCAAAATACTTTTTAATTTACAGAAAGTTACAAAAGCACAACATGAATTTGCCACGTGCCGAGTGTACACTGGGCCTATATGAAGAAGGTGACTTAGAAGCACTCTGTGCTGTGGGCTCTGTTTCCTTAGTCACTCTCGAGCGGTTTTTGCTTGAGCTTTGTTCACCGCATCTTATATTCTTTCTTGGTACATTTCTATTGAATGTATGTCAGTTTTTTTTTGGTCAGTCATAATTCCCTTAACAATGCAACAGAGAAGCTGTTTGCATTGTATTAGGTATTTTAATTTGGTTGAGTGAAAGACTATCGAAATTATATAGGAGGATGTATGAAAGTTATATGTCCAAACTATGCTAGCTTGTTTTAGAGACTTGGACATTTATGGACTTTGTCTCCTTTGTTGGGTTTTGGAACCAAATCCCCATGGGCATGAAAGGATTACCTGAATTCAATTCTCAAATGAATGAATAAACTCTGAACTGTGGCCCTCTTCTATCCCCTCAAGGCAAATAATGAAATAATGGAATCGAATTTAGTTTATTTTTTTCCTTCCCAAGAAATCATTCAATAACTTGCATATGAGCTCTACATGAATGTGGGTAACTACTGTATAGTTGATTATATGTTAACTGGAGTGTTTGCTTAAGGATACTGATTTAATCAGATATTTTAGATGGGATGTAGGTTGCTGTACATTGGTCTGGGAGACTTAGTTTTGAATTTTCCAGAATGCTACCATTTGTAAATACACTGTACACTTCCAAGAGAGTTCATTTAAGTATGAATATTTATTTTTGAGTCCATCTTATGAGATCAGTAGATCAGTACTTCAAGAAACAAGCTTTTTGGAAATAATTCTTTAAAAAGCCCTTAAACCACTAGATTAAAAAAAAATACTGGCTTTATTGACAGATTTGTTGAGAAGCTGTTTCATTGATAAAATGTGCAAGATATCTGTGACAGGAGAACAGATGATTGCCTTACTAGAATATCTTCGTAAATCCAGTAGCTATAAGTAAATGGAGGTCCTGAGCATGGAGGAAGGGGGGCACCCCAGAGTGGAGCAGGTGGAGACGTGTATCCCAACCCTGAAGACTCCCAGATCCTCACTATGGACTATCAATACGAGCAGCAAGGACTACATCCCAACTGCCAAGGAGACCACGGGGAATAGGCGTGCCCTCGGAGGCCGAGAACTCTGAGGTCCCCCACTCCTTTCTGGAGCTTCCGCAGAGGATAGAAGAAGTCCAAACTCTGCCGTGCAGGAACCAGTGTCATAGGAGCGACAACCAGGAACCCTGAGCAGTCCGCAGAAACAGAAGAACAATAAACTTCTTTTCGGACTAGGGAGAGGCGCTTTCTCTGGTCCTTGCCTGGTTCCGGCCCTGGGTCCCCACCCTCTCTCAGTGACCATCAGGATCGCACCAGAAACCCCTCAAAAAAAAAAATACAAACAAACAAAAAAACCTAGACTAGATAGACAGACAACAACAAGGAAAGCTTAGAATCAGACAGGAAATGGTCAGTGTGGATTCACTCATACCTCACTAGGTAGGACACAAAGATTAGTTACTCCTCACTGGGGTATTGAGGACTTCTCTGCACATCCCTCCTACAAACGTTCTGAACCTAAACTGATGACACATGTCTTGTTAGAGTTATAAGCCAGTTCAGACCACCCAAAAAACAAACAGGTTCAGCAAAATCATGCTTCAACACTATAAACAGCTAAATACTAAAATGAAAATAGACGCGAGACAGCTGAATAGTAATCTATAGCCATTTTAAGGTGTATAGAACCAGAAGTATATAAACCAAAATTGAAATGTCTATGAAGAAGTCACAGGATGTGGTTAAGAACCTGCATTTTCCTTTTAACATATTGGTTAATCAATACCATGTCAATCACTACCATAACATTGTAAATTGTTGCTGATGTTATGTTGGGGCTTTTAATTGATTGGGATGATACTCTGCCGGCTCTATCTTCAGACTAGAGATGGTCTCTCCAAGAAACCGTTGAACTTACCAGGACAATAAGATGCTGGACTTCATGCTTGGCAAATGCTTGCAATGAAAGAATTTCAACTGAATCTGAACTGAGGTAATGCAATAAGGTGGAGGAATCCACCATGGGGGGAGGGTTCGGGAGGGGTGGGGGGAATCCCAGTGCCTATAACACTGTGTCACATAATGCAATGTAATTAATAAAATAAAGGACATTAAAAAAAAGTAAATGAGCAAGTGTTTTCTTTTGCCAGAAATCTATAGTGATATAATATGAGGTGGATAAAAGTGCAAATTCTAAGTTAATGCATGTATTGGAAATTTAAAAAAAAAGGGAAAACAAAAGGAATCCAGCAAATTAATTGTAGAGGTGTTCTGTTTATGCTCAAAACAGCCATTTGTCTGGCCTCTGTCAGTTCTTTGCCTGCTTGCTTCCTCTAACCACCCCATATTATTCTCCCAACTCTTTCTTCTATTAGGCAGGCAGTAGTGCCCAATATGTCTGCTTGTAAGGTTAAGAAACAATCCCTATTAAAATTAATTTATGGAATTGTATTGAGAACCATTGGATCTTTTACCACCCATTTCATAGTCTTAGCTTGGATCATGAAGATTAATGCCAAGAAATCAATAATTAAAGAGTTGAGGCATCTGTACTGTGAAAATGTCAGGGGAGCTGAAATTTCCCTACTCATCATGCCCATGGACTGACTTTGATTTCTAGTCAGTTTCTGGGTGGGCAATGGCAGAGTTTCCATCACTGACATGTTGTCTCAGCCATGAACAATTTGAGCCTATAGGCAATCTTAAATTAAAAAGTAATCTTTGTTCAAAGAGAGTTTTTATGAGTTCCTGATAATTATCTTGTAGCAACAAAGCCAGCCATTGTGACACAGTGAGAAGCTTATTGTGTGAGTAGAATCTTGCTGGGT